ACCCCAGCATTGTGTATTAGAATCTCAATTATTTTATGGATGAAATGAGATATTCTATTGCTGTTTAAGTTTCATTTGTTGACGACTAGGAAGTTGGACATTTTCTAGTGTTCTTGATTTTTAAAATCTTTAAATTTCCTTCTAAACAATTATTCTGTCTGCTTTCAAAAGCCTTTACTTCATTATTTGTTATGGATAAGACAAAAGTCACTATTATAGGGCAGGTTAAGCATCCCTATAGCACAGGAGCCAGTAAAAGAAGGAAATATGTCTGTGTTATTTCTGACCTGGCCAATAAAACAGAGTGGCAAAATGCATTATGCCTCATGGGCTGGCTTTTTGTACCAGCCCAGCAACTGCTGTCTCTGAGCCTCTGGTCCAGAGTTTCCTCAGTGGTCAAATCTAGTCTAGTTGTGGGCGTAGGAGGGTGGGGCAGGCTGGAAGATGTTCATTTGAGGGTTAGGGCACATCCCTTTTCTGTCATTGTGCAATGAATTCAACTAGTTAATCTGTGACATGCAAAGTTAGTGTCGAGCTCACAGCTGGTGCCCTATTCATGTTATTAACAGGTACGGTCTTTACACAGCGCCTGAGAGCAGAGATCCTGGTTCGTGGCTTGTTACGCGTTGTTGCAAACTCAGTTGTTGAGATCTAGTTTGATGAACTGGCAGACGCTTCTGTTCCTTCTGTCCCCTTGATTCTCTGGGCAAAACAGTAATGTCACAGGGTCTGCCAAACTTGGGGGAGCTGTTCTCTGCTCCAGAGCATACTTTTTCCCCCTTAACCTAGGTATTTATTTATTTAGTTCCCCCCTCAGATCATACTTCAATCTTTTAAATTACAGTGTGACAGAAATTTCAGAACAGCAAGAGTGGGGGGCTAAGGGTTTCACTGCCCTTTATCCCTTATCCATTGCAGCAATCAGCGTTGAGATGACATCAGCCCTGTTTCCTGTCCTCTGTTGTAAGGAGGATGACTCCAATCATTAGCAAAGGTCCTGGCCCCGGAGCACATGCTGCTCTCTCAGCCTGGGAAGTGGGCAACACAGGGAGATTGCTTGCTGGCTGCAGTGGAATTCCCGTGGGACATGCTGTACTATTATTTCATTGCCTAAGAGTCTGGAGGCTGTGTGTGGCCTTTGATACCATCTGTATTTCTGGAATTGTGGGGCCAGGGTAAAATAGAGTCACACTTCTGTGTACTTATCAAGGATAGAAAAGAGACAAGTTTTTCCCTAGTGTATTTGTTTGCCCAGGATAGAAATTGTGTTGAAATTGAATTATCACTTCCCTTTGCCTTATGTGGGTAACTGAGGCAAGTTTCTGCCAGGCATGATGGCTCACACCTGTAATCCCAGCACTTTGGAAGGCCGAGGCGGAAGTTGGAGACCAGCCTGACCAACATGGAGAAACCCTGTCTCTACTAAAAATACAAAATTAGCCGGGCATGGTGGTGCATGCCTGTAATCCCAGCTACTCGGGAGGCTGAGGCAGGAGAATCGCTTGAACCCAGGAGGCAGAGGTTGCAGTGAGCCGAGATCGCGCCATTGTACTCCAGCCTGGGCAACAAGAGCGAAACTCTGCCTCAAAAAAAAAAAAAAAAAAAAAGAGAGACAAGTTTCTCCCTAATCTAAGCAAGCCAAAAATGGCAAAGAACAAGCGGGAAGCCTCCACAGACTTCTGTGAGGCCGGGGCAGATGTGTAACAGGCACCAGCGCCTTGGTGGGTCACGGTTCTGCTCACCTTTTCCTGGGAGAAGGAAAAACCCTTTTACTGGTGAGAACACTAAGACTCAGAGTGTACTTGCCCTGATCAGCTATCTAGAAGGTGGCAGAAAGTGCCTTTGCATGCAAGTCTGTCTGAATCTGAAGCAGGTCCTTTCCCATTGCAGTGGAGGTGTTCTTTTAGAACCAAACAATTCTTGCACTTCCTCCCCTACCTACCTATACAGGAGTGGGAGGCAGGGCCTGCCAGCCGCAGGGCGGTCTTTCTATCTGTTTTGGTATAGAGCGTAAGTGTGCCTTACTGGGGGCAGAACAGAGCATGCCCTATTCCAACAGGCCCACAGTGTCAGGCAACTGAAGACTGGGTGTATCTGCAGTCATCTCCATCATGAGTCAGAGGATGAGTCCAAGAAAGCCTCATGATCTGTTGCAGCTGGCCAGGTTGGGTCATGTGGCTCCTTTGCTAGGAAGACTTCAGGGATAACCATGTCACTTCCTGGCTGGAGACCAAGCACTCTCAGCAAAACCTGTACCCAAAGCAAAGCAGCTCGTTGCTATTCTTAGAAAAACAAATTATGAATTTTAGTCCTGTTCATTTGATAGCCACAGGAGGCTGGTGAGAAAGGTCTCTGTCGGGGAATGGAGGGATGGGCAAACCTCAGATTCCCACGACACTAGTCAGCCTTTCAGGGTTGCAGAAGCCTTTGCAACTCAAGGCCAAGCCAAGGTCTGGGAATTCTATCAAGCGTGGCTGAGGTTGGCCCTCTTAGAGTCAGGTGATCCGGGCTCTACAGTTATTTGTTGCATAACTGCAGGCAAGTTCAGGAACTCTCTGGGTCTCCATGTTGTTGTTTGAAAAATGAGATGGTGTGGGGATGGTTGACTTCGCTAATGTCTGTTCCCCTTTCAGATCTTACATCTTTAAAATGTTTAATTTAAAGCTCACCTCAAATATTAACATACAAGAACAGTAAATTACACCTTATGATATTTGTTTTTCTCTGAGTTCATCATCTCTTAAATATGCTTGCTTGGCCAGGCGTGGTGGCTTGCGCCTCTGATTCTAGCACTTTGGGAGCCCAAGGCAGGAGGACTGCTTGAGCACAGGAGGTCAAGTCTGCAGTGAGCTATGATTATGCCACTGCACTCTAGTCTGGGTGACAGAGCAAGATCCTACATCTTAAAAAAATAAAAATAAAAAAATGCCCAGGTATGAACAAATGATAAGGAAGCTCTATTTCTGAGTATGCCACTTTCCTAGACTGCTGGGAGATTGTACTCTGAAAAACTCTTTAATTACATAACTTCTGTTTCTGCTGAAATTCTCTATGTTGTTGTCTACTTGTGTTTTACATTTTATTACAGAAAATTTGAAATGTAGCAAGAGAATTATGTAACAAACCCCTGTGGACCCATCAACCAGCTTCAACAATTATCTACATTTTGTCAATCATGTTTCATCTACCCCCACTTCCACCCTATGCATACTTTTGGCAAAGGGGAGTGGCTGGAGTATTTGTAAGCAAATCTCAGACTTCATATCATTTCACTGTTAAATGCTTCAATTTGTGTTTCTAACAGAGAAGGCCCCCCTTTGTATAAAATATGACTACCATGCCATTATTACACCCACTGAATTAACAGTGACGAAGGAGTTCTTTGAACTTTTAGTGAATTCAGGGTGGAAGTGGTATTGGGATTAAGAAGCCCTGGTCTGGATTTATCCGCTTTATCCAAAACAATGGGAGAATTCATTGAAGGGGATCTTGGGGCTTAAGCTGGCACTTGGCCCACCCCTTACAAGACTTTCAGAAAGCAAATTTCGGAAAGACCTGTCTGTTCAGAACAATGGATATAACTAGCATTTGCTCAGCACCCTCTGTGTACATCTCCATATATATTATCTCCTTTAACCTCCACACCAAAAAGCTGAGAGTAGAAACCAAGGCTCAAGGAGGACCTTCCCAAATATTAACTTCTGATTGGTCAACACTAGAATATCATAATGTTACTGAACCAATAGGAAATTCCCCATACTGAATCATAGGAAATTCCCACCTAGCATCAGAGCACAGGTTTTTGGGTTCATGCCTTAATCTAACCGGATGTTTAACTCCTGTAGCAACAATAACCAGTTCATTCATTTTTTATTGTTGTTTGGTTTTTTTGTTTTGAGACAGGGTCTCCATCTGTTGCCCAGGCTGTAGTGCAGTGGCACAATCATGGCTAACAGCAGCCTCAAACTCCTAGACTCAAGAGATCCTCCTGCCTCAGCCTCCCAGGTAGCTGGGATGACAGGCATACACCAGCATGTCTGGCTAATTTTTTAATTTTTTGTGGAGATAAGATCTTACTCTGTTGACCAGGCTGGTCTCAAACTTCTGGCCTCTAGCAGTCCTCCTGCCTGGGCCTCAGTACCCAGTTACCAGTTTATTCTTTAAGATTCCCCGGGAAATAGTTAAATGAAGATAATATCTTAGGCAGACAGAACATGAAAATGTCTTCCTCTCTTCAGCCCAGGTTGAAGGATTCCAGGCAGTCTTCCCCTCTCTCTAGCTTTCCCCAAATGGATATGAGGGCAAATCACAGGGCTTATAAGTCATTTTCTAGGGTTAGAGGACCTTTGTAGATTTGTGCTTGAAAGGATTGGATTTTTTGCATTGGAAACCTATAACTTATTATTCAGTTAGGAGAATCTTTAAATAGAAAACTGAAAAAGTGCCTCCTTATATACATTTAGCAGTAGGAAGAGGCCCCTTAAAGTATTCTGGGAGGGGGAAAAAAGGAATGGAGATAAGGTGGGGAGGAAGGAAGTGAGGTAGGGAAAATAAAAATTAAAGAACCCTCATGAATCCCAGATTGATTTTATGACCTGTTTTGAAAGGAGCTGTAGTAACTTATGTTGTTTGTGTTTAAAGTGTCCTTCTGCAGACCCAAAGTTGTAGGCAAATACCTGCTTTCGTAATCAGATCATCCAGCAGGTTTCCTGTGAAGCTACTGAAGCTTAAACTTCAGGGTTCTTTCCTTGTATTGGTCCCTCCCAAAGCCTTGGTAGGGGCTCTAGAAATGTGTTCCCCGCTCAGATGCATAAACTCCAAAGCACACAAACCCAGATACAGCCCTGGATCTCAGGAATCAAGTTCTCAAGGGAATGATGTGCCAGAACCATCTCTTGATAAGTCCCAGATTTCCCAATAGTACAACTTGCCTTTGTTTCTTTTTAATTTCTTCTTGTAATTTGCACATATTTAGCCCCCTTTGTATTTCATTTGTGCAGATGAAATTATGCAGCAGGAAGTCAGGCCCTTGATGGCGGTGGAGATAATAGAACAACTTCACAGACAATTTGCCATTCTTTCAGGTAAGGAGGACATTCATTTGCATTTCCAGATTTTGATGGGGGTGGAGGGTCTTGATGGGAAGGCCCAACTTCTTGAACCTTGAGGAATATTATACTCAAATCTTACTCACCCCTTAGGCCTCACCCAGGACTAGAACAGGCTGAGGCCTATCCTGCCAGAAGAGGGTGGGATCTCATATATATTATTACCTTTGCTGTTCAGTGCAATCTGATCTTTCCCAAAGGAAAGATCATTTCTTTGTGGTTGTAAATAACAGAGCTGAAAAAGACTTTGAGGAAAGAAAAAGAGATAACTACTGACATCAGCTGCCACCATGATGTTCTTCCAATGTTCCTGTTGGATGTTCTTCCAAGATTCCTCCTTAAAAAGATCTAAGTTCTAAGGGTTCCCAAATGTTGCTGAGGTTATTTGTTCTCTGGGAGAACTGTCTTTTATTCTTAGCTCATTTAAGGGGATTTCCATTAAGCATTTAATTGGGAATGAAGAGAAACTGTTCTGACTAAAAGTCTAGCATTTTTTGAGCCTAGACACAACCCTGAAAGGCTGTCATGACTTGAATATTGTTCTTTCTTATTCGCCTAGCTAAGGGTGACATGACTTTAATTACTAAAACTAGAAGTAGATGCCAAACCCCAAATTGTAGTTAGACCCAACTTAGAGAATGAAGTGGTGACATTAGATGTCCTTAGTATATAACATGGAGGGATAAAGTGGCAAGTTACTCTTTTCAACTTTTACATCTCTTCTGAAAAAAACAACAAAGCCATCTTAGTTACATCACAGAGAGAATATGTAGTTGGCGTGAATTTTATTCTACAACATGGGATGTAAAAAAAAAAGTCCCATCTCTCTCTTTTCTCCAAATCACACTTAATCTGCTCCAGGCTCCTCATCCCACTGATTTGAAGGAGATGCGAACTCAGTTACTATTGGGATACTTCTCCCAACCCCAGCATTGCCTCCTGGGTGGCAACATCTTACATAATCCAGGACATTCTGGGGGAATTCTCTGGTCTTTCCTCCACATTAGTCACTGCTCACATAGTCACTGAAAGCTCCATAAATACAGGGTCCTCCTTTTTCTTCTTTCTGTCTGTATTGCCAATACTTAGATCAGAGACTAGAACATAAAAGGTGCTCAGTGCAAAAATATCCAAGTCCCTGTGGTCTATTCTGTGAGGCCCGTGGTCTCCCTGCTCCCCAAATGCCTAGTTAGGCACCATTGGTCCCTGTGGGAGGACATAACCAGCCTCCTGAAGGCTCATAGCTTCCCATTGTGAGTCTAGGCTTGCGCAAGACAAAAGGCAGAATGGGGTCTGTCCTCTGGGTTCCTGGAAGCTGTTGCTGTGGTCCTACCACAGAAGGCTCCAAGACCACCATGCAGCTCAAGGTCTGGAATGGATGACAGGGTGGGCTGGGGTCGGGTAGATTCCTAGAGCCTCAGACTAAAGCTCTAAGGCCTCAATGCATGATTCTGGCCTATATAATTACGCAATGGCTCATCTCAGGAATCAGTCTAGTGACTGATTAATTAATACATTTATGATCCAAATTTATCTCCTTTGAGTATTATTGAGGCATTTCTTTCTGTTCTTATGACTTAGAGGCAATATAGAAAAAACATGAACTGATATCAGACAGCTCCAGATATGAATTTGGATTCTGTACTTACTAGCAGCGTCACGTTGGGCAGCTTACTTCTCTAAGCCTCAGTTTCCTTATCTGTATGATGGGATTATTGTAACTTTTTTTTTTTTGAAATGTAGTCTTGCTCTGTCATCCAGGCTGGAGTGCAATAGGACAATCTCAGCTCACTGCAACCTCCACCTCCCAGGTTCAAGTGATTATCCTGCCTCAGCCTCCTGAGTTGCTGGGAGTATAGGGACCCGCCATCATGCCTGGCTAATTTTTGTGTTTTTGTAGAGACAGGGTTTCACCATGTTGGCCAGGCCGGTCTTGAACTCCTGACCTCAGGTGGTCCACCTGCCTCAGCCTCTTAAAGCGCTGGGATTACAGGCGTGAGCCACCACACCCAGCCAGTAATTTTGAGGATTAAATGACATAATGTATGAAAAATGCTTAGTATTGCAACTGCTAAATAAGTGTTTCCCTTTTTTTCCGATATCTTTTATAGTGCTAAATAAGTGTTTCTCTTTTTTGCTGATACATTTTTATAGTTCTATAAAATGTTTATTTTGGGGCTCTATTACAAGTAAGATAGTTTTTATAAGAAACTGAAGTCATGCTCACATAACTATGGTATACAATGCCACCATTGATTAGGAATAGAGAGGATTGTCACTCCTTAATGTAGAACAGAGAACTATGGAAACACACACTGGGCACAGAATACTGCTTTAGGAAGGTACTTTGACCATAATAAAGATAACCCTTCGTTTCTGAGTTTCTTTTGTCATTTAAGTTTGTCTTCTTTTTTCTTCTCTTTTCCTTTTTTTTTTTTTTTTTTTTGAGACATGGTCTCGCTTTATTGCCCAGGCTGGGGTGCAGCGGCACAGTCTTGACTCACTGCAGCCTTGACCTCTCAGGCTCAAGTGATCCTCCTACCTCAGCCTCCTGAGTAACTGAGACTACAGGCAGGCACTGGCGCACACCATCATGCCCAGCTAATTTTTAAATTTTTTGAAGAGATGGGGTTTTGCCATGTTGCCCAGGCTGGTCTGGAACTCCTAGGCTCAAACAATCTTTCCATCTCAGTCTCCCAAAGTGCTGGGATTACAGGCGTGAGCCAGCACGTCCAGCCCAAATTTGCCTTTCTTATGAAGGAGAAACATGGATTCGCTGTGATAGTAATTACAGCCTTGCAAGCCTGCAGGAATAGCGGCAGCCGTGGGTCTCTCTGAGTCAGCACTTTGTTTGGAATCAGAGGCCTGCTTTTCATCTTTAACCATCTCTCTTTTTCTGGCAGAAACAGCAGGTGTCAGCAAGGAGGCTGTTGTGGGGGCCAGTACAGTTGTTGTAAAACAGAAATCTCTCTAATTAGGTCTTTTCCCATGGCTGTGGTAGCCTAAGAGCTGCAGTCTCAGCCCCAACTCGCAGCAGTTTCCTTTTCCTGATTCAGGCAAGTAAGGTAAATATTTTCCCTACAAAATTTTCTACCAATTTCATTGATCTCTGGAAGGAGCCAGAGGCCCTGTCAACCAGCAAAGCTGTGAAGGAGAAGATAGAGCCTTTTCCTCAATGCAGCTCTAGCTGCCTAGTCTGCTGAACTGTGCATGTGTTCCCACGGCTGGTAGAAGAGCAGAGGCTCATTACATGAAGCCTGACCCAGATTTGTGGCCCAATGGTTTGCAGCCTTGAAGCCTGTGGGCAGGGCCACCAGCGGGAATTGGATATTGACCGGGGCTGGGGCCTCTGGGAGCTCTGACATTGGAAGACACCTGCATGTTCACAGTGAACTTGGGATATTTCTAAATTCAGGGCTTAGCTAGGAAACGAGAGTATAACCTGGTTAGTGTGGTGGAAACATTCTGGGCTTTGGACTCAGACAATTCTGGGTTCACATTCCAACACAACCAGTAGGTGGCTCCGAACCTCGGTTTTTCATCTGTAAGAAGAAAAGTGCTCAGCATGGTATCTACCAGGGAACTTAACCTCTGAGACTTGTTGGTTTGTTTTTTGAACTGCATAACGAGGTCTGAAGATAGAAACTCTTGGTATTGGATCAGAGGCTCAATGACATTAAGGTTGACATCTTTATGATTCTCTTGATGTTTTCTTCTTACTTGTCAACTCTTGATTCAAGGTGGCTGCTGCAATTCCAGACATCAGGTCAGTGTCCAAAGCAGGAAGAAGGAGAAGGAAAATGCTGGCTTCTTCAGTTCCGTTTGTAGAAACTCTTGGCTGCCTTCTGCTTATGTCTTATTCTAGAATTATGTCACACAGCCATTCCCTGGCACCAAGAGAATCTCAGAAGGCAAGCATTTAGCTTTCTAACTGCCACAGGAGATGGTGGTCAGGGAAAAGGGGATTGGGGGTGAATTAGCCATTTATCAACGTTTGCCACAGCTCCTTTCCTTTAATTATAAGGAATTGTCCTTTTAGCTTTATCTTGATGGTTGTTTCCCACTTGGAATTACTGTGTCTGAATCTCTCTCTTTCACTTTCTCTCCCTCTTTGCTCCCTTTCTCTGCCTCTGTCTTGTGGCAGCTTGAATCCTTTTGAAAGTAATTGATGAAGAAATCAACTGCTCAATACTCTTAGGCTTGTAGAGTCCCCAGTTTCCCCTCATACACACCAATGAAGCCCAGGTTTGGTGGCGGGTAGGGCTCCCAGGGGTGAGTGGGGGACTCCTACCTGAAACAATGGAGAATGTCAAACCAAGGAAGAGATCAGAGCCCCAACTCCTAACTTACCTATGGAGCTAGTGACTTGAAACCTGGGCGGTGAGAACCAAGGGTGATATCTAGAGCAGGACTGTTTAATAGACATACAGTGTGGCCCACACGTGTACTTTAAAATTTTATAGTAACCATATTAAAAAGGTTAAAATAAATGGATACAATGAATTTTAATAATATATTTTAAAATTACCCATATCTGAAATAATATTTTCACATGTACTCAATATTCAACATTATTGAGATTTTACCTTTTTTATTCTAAATCTTTGAAATCTAGTTCACATTATATACTTACAGCATGTCTCAGTTTGGACTGGTTACATTTCAAGTGCTTCATAGTCACATGTGTCTAGCGGCTGTTGGATTCGGTAGTGCAGGTGAGAGGGAAGGTTCTCAGTCATGTTTGACTGAATATCTCCTTTTTATAACAAAAGATTTGTATTGCCCTCTGCCATCCTAACATGAAATTTATACATACTATAACTTGTATCTGCAAGGGTGGGCTCAACAACTACAACAAACAGACTCCAAAGGGTATAGGGCTCCAACTGTAACCACCCAAGGGGTTGACCTTGCCTGCTGCCCAGACAGAGCCAGGGGAATTGCAATAGAGAAAGAGTAATTCATGCAGAGCCGGT